TATWTTWWAAAAATATGTTGTGCCAGCTGTGTTAAATACTGACTKAATAAATAGAAAATTTTGGATTTCTCACACATTATTAAAGTTTGACATATTTATAAATTATAACAAAACATGAATCTATTCGGTTGCTGAAAAATAAAATAAAAAAGAATTAGAAGAATATATGTGAAACACTTAATCCACCATGAACAGAGATGTGTAAAACTCTAATTTATTAATTGATTATTATTACTTATTTACATTTGGAATTTATGATTTTTCCTTGAATCTTTAATTTTTGTTGTTTTTTTTGTTGCTGCAGATTGCTCTGACTGTGTCTAAAACTATATATTTGAATTATAAGTGGATCTAACTAGACTCTAGGTGTTCTCTGTGGCTGGAAGMTGCTTGATATAAACTCTCACAACAAATAAAAATGTATGATTTCCAAATAGCCTTATTTATAAAGGAACTAATTAAATTTCAAATGTGAGGACAGCTCATATATCTGTTTAGTAGTTAAAAATTACTTGTCTTTGTGCTGTTCCCTTTTCACAGATTATTCTGCTTAGGCAAAGTAATAGTGTCACGCAATGCACCATGGAAGTGGATCACAGAATATGCAACGGCAGCTTCAAAAATCCAAGTCTGTCAGTGGGTCAGAAGCAGACGAGCAGCAGCCAGCCATGGCAGCTACACAGCAGCAAGCGACAGTTAACCATCCTCAATCTCCTGTGACCACTTTTACTTCTGCTGCCAGCCCTTCAGCCCCTCAGTCCCCCAATTATCAGATAATCATGAGTCGAAGCCCAGCCACCAGCCAGAATGTAAACATCACTTTACAAAACACCCAGCAGATCACTCTAGCCTCACTCCCCATCCAGAACCCATTATCCCCTGGCTTCCAGCACACTACACCTCAGTGGAGGTTCGAACCGGCCCCATCCTCCTACATTCAGGTCACCTCACCGGTGCCCCAACCTATTCAGCCCCAAAGTCCCACCCAGCATAGTCCAGTCGCTCTACAAGGTGTCACAAGGGCAGGGGCACAACCAACAGCGTTGGGAGTGTGTGCACAGAGCCCAACGCGATTTATCGACGCTGGTATGTTAGTTCGACAAATTAGTTTAGGCAGCCAATCAGGAGGGGGGCACTTTGTTTTCCAGGAYGGAACAGGACTAGCCCAGATAGCACCAGCAGCTTCTGGCCAAGTACAAATATCTTCTCCAGGAACACCGGGCTCTGTGAGAGAACGACGGCTCTCTCAGCCTCACTCTCAAACTGGAGGCACCATTCATCACCTTGGACCTCAAAGCCCAGTTGCCACTGGTACTAATCTTTCTACACTGGGCAGCCCTGGTCACATCACTACTTCCAACCTACCTCCACAAATCAGCAGTATCATAAAAGGTCAGCTTACACGCCCTATAATATTTGAAAAGACTGCACAAGGTGTGGTAACCACAGCTACAGCATCATTTAGCATACCCTCCTCCATTCCACCCTCCAGCCCATCTCTTACTAGTCCACCCCAAGCTGTCCCCAACAATCCTCTCACACCAACCAGTATAACTTCAGGCAGCATAAAGAAGCAAGCTGCCAAGAAGCTAGAGGAAATCGCCCCTTCTACTCCAGAAATTGCCCAGCTTAGAAAACAATGCTTGGAACATCACACCAAGAAAATGGAGAGCTTGAAAGAAGTGTTCAAGGAGTACCTGATTGAACTTTTCTTTCTGCGACACCTTCAAGGAAACATGATGGACTATCTAGCCTTTAAAAAGAAGCCTTGTGTTCCCTTGTATACCTACTTGAGACAAAATGACTTGGATCTTGAAGACGATGACGATGAGGAAGAACAGTCGGAAGTCATTAATGACGAGGTATTACCACAGCGAGTTCTTAGATTGTCTAGTTGTTGCACATATTGAATACTCTACGTCTTATTGTTTTTAAAGGTAAAGGTTGTTACTGGAAAAGATGGCCAAGCAGTGACACCGGTTGCCATAGCAACACAGCTTCCTCCCAATGTTTCTGCAGCTTTCTCTACTCAGCAGCAATTTCAGGTGATAGAGAAGACATTTAATACATGGATATTTTTCACATTTCTTGGGTTTTATAAAAAAAGAAGGTGATTGCTGACAGTTTTTCACTAATTGTGTGAGGTTGTTTTGCAGGGGCATCAAGGGGCTGGCTCAGGCACTGTTGCAAACCCTGGAGACATGGATGCTTTTAAGAGGCAACAGGCTATGGTGCAAGCAGGTAGGGCAAGGACTGTAGACTCCTGTCTCTCCTTTGTTGCTTTGTTTCCCCCCACCCCCCCGTTTGCTTTGTTTTTTGTTTGGTTTCTTTTTTCCTTCTAATTGCTTCTGCTTTTAGATATTTGGCAACCTCTACTAGCGCTTTGTGTTGAAGTCTAAAACCAAGGAAGGAGAGGTGACCTGTAAGGTCTGCAGAAGGTCATTGCTCTGTGCCGAGTGCCTTTTTTGCGTTATGAGGGTATTGTGTGTTTTAAATCCCAGATCAGGCTAAGAGGCCCCGGATTGACGTTGGTCGCCATGGGCTGATTTTCCAGCATCCTGGTGTAGCTCCTTTAGGATCACCTGGCGTTCCTCTTCAGCAGCTAATGCCGACCGCGCAAGGTAGGAGTGCTACCACCAGGCCGTTCTGTGTTCTGTTCGATGCTGCTGGACCTATGCCCTTCCTCAGACTAAGGAAAGTGAATTTGAATCACAACACGTCTACAAATTCCAAGCAGCATCAACAAATTGATCTTCAACCATCTGCTGGATTTCTCAGCAGTCCACAGGAAGTTCAGGCTTAGCTGTACCAGCACCAGCTCTCTCTGTCAAGATAAATTGGGATGAAGACAATCCCAATGTCTGAAGAAGAGTAGCCACTCAATGGGGAGATGCCATGTCTTCTTTTTATTTTTAATTTTTACTTCCTGTTCACTTGTCGTTATTCATCTCTTCTTTTATGAAGTTTGTTCCGATTAGTCTTCTTTGTTTGGACAGACCTTCTCATGTTGATGGATTTTTTTTTATTTGAGGTGGATCTCATAAAGTGGGAACCCTCTGGGAAACTTTCCACTTTCCAATGGGTATTTCTTCTTTCCCATTGTTTTAATCCACCTGACATACTTTTGGTTTCCATTGTCATTCCAAGTCTTTTTGTCTTCATCGTCTGTTTTTGAACCTTGTAACATCGAATCAAAATCATCGTTCAATCATCATCCGTCAGTTCTGCAAAGTGTTTTTATCTTCTGGTCATTTTTAGTTTGTTTTCTTCCATGTTATGTCATGACATTTTGTTCTGACTTGGCTTCTTTCCCTCAACTTAAGTAGGAGGGGGATCATTTGGAGGAGTTTTGCTCACGGCTCAAGTTTTTTGCGATTTTGGTGGTGTAGGTGTGTCAGGGCCAGGTGTTGGTGGCGTCTAGGCAAGGTGATGTGACGTGCAGGGAGGTAAGGCAGGTGCTGCTTCAGTGTGCACAGCTCTGCTCAGGCTTGCTGTCTGCAAACCCCATGTGTGTCCTTTTGCTCACCTCTGTGCTCTGTCGCTGTGTGAGGCATCCAGGTGCCTTGGTTGCCGCAACAATGACATTGCTTCATGCATGGTACACATATGCTGTTTTCGTGTCTGCTTTGTAGTTTTATTTCCCCTTTTTTCCTATTTTCAGAAACTTTTCATTTTTATTTGTAACATTTTAATTTACTCTAAAACTTTGTCTTACCGCATGTATGATTTTTTGATGTTTTTAACCACATTCTCTGCATTTGAAATGCAATGTTTTGATTTTGCATTGATCAAAGTAGTGTTTCATTTGAGAGACATGTAGATTCTCATATTGATTTCATTTCTTCTGTAACCATTTTGCTGTATGATTTTCATTAGTTTTGCTCGAATCATCCAGGACTAGTATTCTACTGTTAATGACTAGTTCATTAAGAGGAGGTTACAGGAGCTCTAAAATTTGACGTGCACACTGTTATTTAAAATAAAAAGTAATTTTTTATTATTACTAGATTCAAAATGTATGCCTTCTACAAAAGGGTCTCTCAAATTATCAAGGGAAAAATCCTAAATTCCTAATAGAATTAAAACAAATTAGGAAAGAGAAAAGTAAATTCTATGAAACACTTCATATAAGATGTCAACTTGATTTTTTAAAAACTTTTTCTGGTTTTTGTTCTCTGTACTACCTTTTGTCCTATACTTTGGTTGCCGTGTATACAGGTGGTATGCCACCTACTCCTCAAGCGGTCCAGATTGCAGGACAGAAGCAAAACCAGCAACAGTACGACCCGTCTAAAGGACCTCCAGTGCAGAATGCTGCCAGTCTTCACACCCCCCCACCCCAGCTACCCAGCAGGTTGCAACAAGGTGCCCTCCCTATGGCGAGCCTACCTTTGGCTCAGTTAGTGGAGAATGCAGCTCAGTCTGGTGGGCAGCTCCAGGCACCAGTTCAAGTACAGACAGGAGGGTCTGTCCTGGCTACAATGAACCCCCACACACAGCTCCAGACCCAGCTCCAGCAGCAGATACAACAAGGTGTTCATATCCAGCTGCAGCCCCAACAACAACAACAATCCCAGACCATTCTACAGGCAGGACAAGCGGTCAGTTTTTGTAACATCAATGAAATTATCAGTCTTTGAAAACTGACAACATTCGTTCATTCAGGAATAGGGCATGTTAATGTTAATAATTTCATCATTTTATTTACTTACAAACTTATGCATAGTTTCCTATTTAAGACTAACAGATTCCATTTCTGTCATATTAAAACAAAGAAGTTCTGACATATCGTCACCAATCTTTATAGTTTAAATTAAATTTTAGGGATTTGTTTCCCCTCTCCACAGACGGTGACACTTGCTCGGCCTGTTACAGATTTAAACCAGCCGGTTCAGAGGATTATGACCAACTCAGTATCATTAACATCTGTGTCTCCTGCTCCTCTGTCCACTCCAAACTCTAATCCATCTCCCCAAACAAGTTCTGTCCGTCCTCTTGGCTCTAATATTAACCCAAGCACCCAGTCCAAACTAATGGGAACCAATGGGTCTGCGGTCAAAATGGGTGGCTTTGGTCAAAATACCACCATGCAGTCCTCACAAGAAGGTTCTCAAGACAAACAAGTGGAGCAGGCTAAACTGGTGAGTGTTGTTTACACATGTAGTCTGATTAAAAATGTAGACATTAGAAGTTTGTCTAACATTTACTGATATTATTGTTCCTCAGTGGATCAATGAAGTGTGTTTCTATTCTTTGCTGTATTTCCTAAATAAGATAATTGTGCCCACAATGTGTGAAGGGCCTTTGGCAGGTGACCATTCTGGTTTAATCTTTGCACAATTTCCAACTTTAAAAACATAAAAATTTGAATAATAATAAGATTAAAATCTGCGAAGCAAATTTGAACCCGCCTCACCTCCATACCAAGTCTGAAGACATGTAACATTACAGAAAAAAAAAATAGTTTCTGAAGCAACAAATGAAGGTCTCCTGGGTGGAAATCTCAAACATGGAACATACGTTTAATAAAGCAGCAAAATTGAACTCAAAGTTCAAATGTGCTTCTACTTTTTTTAAAGGTAGTTTTGTCAGACAATGTCTGCCAGAAGAAATGTCAAATATTTGTAAAACAATAATGTTTATATGTGATCTTTGCTTTTGGTCAGCTCCTCTACTATTGGTCAACACAGCTCCTTCCTGTCTGTTGACCAATAGAAGAGGTGCTGACCCTAGAAGGGCCGCCCTCCTTATTTGCACAAAGAGGCAGAAATGAATAAGGTAAAGTAAAAACAGGAAACAGAGAAATGTAAAAGCAACACATGGAAATAAAAAGACTTGTGGGAAATAAATAAATAAATAAATAAATATAAACATTTAAGAGACAAATGCCTGTACAAGTAAAAGGAAAAACAAAAAATAAATATTTTTAAAAACAGTAAAATGTAAATTACGTAGCCCATGTGGTAAAATACAAATATCAATCTTTTATTTAAACTAAGCTGGAAAAATGAATATGAAGGTCAATTAAATAAAACAAGGTAAAGTTCTCTTTTTTTAATTTAATTGGTGCATTTTAAGTGTATTTATTTATTTATTGGACCATTTATATATTTGATTTTATTTGTAATTGTGACAGTTTCATAGGAGCCCGCGAGGGGACATGGGGAGATTTTTTTCTATTGATTTCCCACGCAATACTTTTGAGTTACCTCACAAAACGTTTTGCGTTACCTCGCAAAAGTTTGTTTTGTATATGAACTGAAGTAAATCAGACTTTTATTTTGAAATATCCGGTTTCCAAAACAGGATGTGTCACCACAGTTTGTGAAATTGACGTTGCATGGCTGCACTGTGTTCAAATATCGTCATATGACATACTTCCATGCGTGGTTGTGTGATATATTCATTCTGAAGCTGAATTAAAGYAGTAGGCTAACTCACTAATGGTGGACATGTGAGTTTGTTAATAAACCAGCAGGCACAACAGTGATAAACTACTTTTGCGAGGGAACGCAAACGGTATTGCGTGGGAACGCAAAAGAAAATAAATCTCACGTGTCCCCTCATGGGCTCCGTAGTTTCAGTCCTCCACAAAGTTCTGTGGTTTAGCTTTTTTTTTTGTCATTGTAGTTAAAATGAGTATGATCTTATTTATACTCTGATGTCATTTGTCATTTCTGTGTCTTAGGAAAGTCAGGTGCACCAGCGTATTTCTGAGCTGAGGAAGGAGGGTCAGTGGTCAGCCAGCAGACTCCCCAAGCTTGTGGAGGCTTCTCGTCCAAAGTCCCACTGGGACTACCTGCTGGAGGAGATGCAGTGGATGGCAGCAGACTTTGCTCAGGAGAGGAGATGGAAGGAGGCTGCTGCTAAGAAGGTTTGACTAACATGAAAGAATTCACAAACAGAAGTTACAGATGAGCACAGCAAAAGTGTGATGTCTCTGTAACGCCTCACGTTTCTGCTGCAGCTTGTTCGCACTTGTGCACGTCACCACCAAGAACAGAGAAAAAGTGAGGAAAGGTCAGAAAAAGAAAGGGAAATTCATCTCCGTCACATTGCCAGCACGATTGCCCGAGAGGTGGAATTCTTCTGGTCAAACATTGAACAGGTGYGTGTCGTACAATCTCATTTGTGCACGATTGTGTTTTTATTTGATCTAAATAAGAGATCATTTTCTCTAAGGTGGTGGAAATCAAACTCCAATTTGAAATTTATGAGAAGAGGCTCAAAGCACTTGGTTTACAAAAAGCCACAGGTATGTCCCACTGAACAGCTCCTGACAATAACTAATACAATTGTTTCTTTGTAGCATGAGCTTTAACGTCAGGAATTTTGTTCCAGCACTTTGTGTGGTGAAACTGATTTACCTCTACAACCCTGAACTGTGCCAAGTCATTAATACCACACTTGTTGTTCTTCCATTTCAGTGTTTGGGCAGACAGGAGAAAAAGTCAAAGTGGTAGGTGCAGCAATGACATTAAGATCAAGGTTAAATCAAAAAGTACGTCATTTAGTGTTTTTTATATGTATAATTTATTTTGTTCATTTTACAGGAGGGAGTCACTTCTGCTAAAAAAAGAAAATCAAGTTTGTCCTTGGCTGACGAAGATGGTATTTGTTAGTTTTGGGTTTAAATAGCGAAAACAGTGAAAGCAGAATGATCAATGTTTTATTGACTGTTTTCTTTCATCTAGTCTCAGATGAAGAAAGCACCATAGAGGAACAGGAAGGCATTGAGGGGGAAACGGACCACAAAGCAGAGCTGAATGACCTCGCCAAAGATGGTTTGTGCTTTTAAACAGCTTGTGAATTTTTCTTTCAATTCACARCAAGTATTGATGTTTTTGCTGTGTTAATTTTTTCTTTATAAAAAAGTCAAGTTTGATAAATGATGAGCATCAAGCTAAAAACAGATGCTTTTAAAAGATCTATTCCATAATAACTGATACAAAAACTCTGTATTGTTGCATAAAAGCTTTAACTTGAACTTTTAGTATTTTTCATTTGACTTTGTAATCCAGTTAGGCTAAATGTTTTTTTCCCTTACCTAAGAGAAAATCACACTCATGGTCTTACATATCCTGCATTCACAATTAGGTTCTATTACATTTTGCAAATTCATCAAAAACACAACAGCTTAGATATTTAGTTCTTGTTCAAATCAAATCAGTCCAGTCAAGATAAAATAAAACTGTTTAGAACAAACAGCACAATATTTTCATATTGCACTGCTGACCACCCTAAATTACTCTAGTTTAATTTCCTCATTGTGATGCCCCTAAAAATCAGTTGGCTGTAGGAAAAAAGTGTCTTTCTAAACTTGAAATGCTATTATTCAAACAATCACATGCAATTCTTCTTTTTATAGTTACCAATACACATGTAAAATCTATCATCACATATCCAAATACATTTATAGTGATTCCTGGTGTTCATGGTCGCCATTAAACTGTAATCTTTTGGTCTTTGACATCTGCCTTCCTGTTGACTTTTACATGTAAACATATCTGTAAATTAGTCTTATTGCTTTTTTATGCGTGCTGCTCTTTGAATAAATTAAGTGTGTTTCTGCTTTAGGTAAGTAATTAAGAAGGAGGGCTGTGCAACTTTTTTAAAGTTCAACACTTGTAAACAAGCAGTACTGAATGTTTTATAATAATGCTGGCACACAAGAAATGTTTTTAAATTGTTATACAGTATAATTACTTGCCGGGTTCTCTGTCTTTAAATTTTGTTTTTTTGTTTATTAGCTGAGATGTCTCTGGATGCCTTGAAGAAACTGTATGCTGGAGCGTACGCTGATAGTTTTGAGTGGCCTCAGCCAAGTCCTCACAGTGACGAGGATGACTCGGAGGAGACCGAAGGTGGCTTTACAATCTGAAATCACAGTCCTGTTAAAATTAATTTTAGTCATGTATGGCTGAAAATGCTGTCCCTAAAAATAAATATTTATTTCCCTTGTTTTCCAGAAATGGAATGCGCTTCAGGCAGCCCACCTCAAGCTGTATTAATCGACTCCCTGCTTAGTATGGACCAATATCGGAGTGCAGATAAAGCCACGTCTGACTCAAACGGAAGGCCAGGCAGAGACATCGCTGAAGTGGCTGCTGCCACAGAACTGATATTGCCTAAAGGCAGCCTCAGAACCACATCATCTGTAAGCACAAAGACGATTAAAACATTTATAAAAAACATGCTTTTATCGTTTTAAAACTGTTTTTTTTTTTTATTAGACTCGCAGCTCAGCACCTTTTCTGTTGCATGGAGTGCTGCGAGAATATCAGCAAATTGGTGTGGATTGGTTGGTAAACCTTTACAAGAAGCAGCTCAATGGCATCTTAGCTGATGAAACAGGACTTGGCAAAACTGTGCAGACGGTAGCTTACATGGCCCACTTAGCAGGTCAAGAGGGTATGTTGACAATTAAATATACTCGTATTTTTACAGAGTATATCTAATTTAACAATAAAGCATTTTAAAGACATTTACTGCTTTCGTCCACAGGCGTCTGGGGTCCCCATCTTATTATAGWAAGAACCTGTAAGCTGCTAAGCTGGGAGCTGGAGTTCAAGCGCTGGTGTCCTGGCCTTAAGATCCTTCTGTACCTGGGCAGTCGAAAGGAGCGCAGATCCAAGAGAACGGTATTCATGTTGTTTAAAACATATTTCTGGTAGAACTCAAAGCAGTCATCTTTATTTAAGATCTWTAATTATAGCAACTTACTGTGTGGACATGTTTTTGCAGTTGTGGGATGAATCCAACAGCTTCCACGTATGTGTGACGTCATACAAGCTTCTAATGAAAGATCAGAGCCATTTTCTGAGGAGAAGATGGAAGCATCTGGTTCTGGACGAGGTCCAGCTCATCAAAAACCTTACGCAGAAACACTGGGAAACAGTCTTTGCTATCAGAAGGTGAACTGCTCAAAAAAATACAATTGTGTAATCTCAGGAGTTTTGCGCAGTCTTAGAATTTGAGGTGTGTTTAGTATTTTCCAGTTTTGTTTTGATTTTTGTGGAAAAAGGGGCAGAATTTAATAACACATTCCATTTTTCTCAAGTTAGTTGCACAATTTGATTAAACAAGCTGCTTGTTAAAACTATCTCCTCTTGAATAGCTGTTTGAAAGTCAAGTTATGCACATGTTGAAGTATTACTCTGTTATTGCCCATTTTAAACTTTTAAAATAACTGCTGTAATTGCACATCTGTGTTTATTGTCTGTAGGGCTGCCTCGATTAGTCAACGACTTAATCGATTATTAAAATAGTCGATGACTAATTTAATAACTGATCAGTTTTTTTGTTCTTTGTTTTTCTGTCCAAACTGCTTTGACACCTTCCACTGCCACATCTGCCTTTCTGTCCTTGACACACATGCACAGTAGTGGTAACTGGGGTAGGCCGTGGACGTCACAAGACATTATACAGACAGGCTCTCGTATCATGGCTACCCAGCAACRGAGCTCAAAAGTGTGGGATCATTTTAAGAAAATGAAAGAGAAACCTGTGCAATATCTGTAAGGCAGAACTTGCCTTCAACAGCAATTATTTTAGTTAAGCATAGCTAAAGTGAGCTAAAATCTGATGATAGTTATATAATAGCAGATGCATTTTGGCTCGATAAGCTGTATGTTTTATATTCAATTATTGTATGATCCGATTAGTCGACTAATCGAAAAAAATAATCGGTGATTAATCGATTATAAAAATAATTGTTTGTGGCAGCTCCAGATGTCTGCATAGTGATACTTTACAGTTAATAGTCTGATGAGATTATTTTGCACTGAAAATGGGCTAATTCTGATTCCTAATATCTGATAGTCTACTGTCTCTAAAACAAAACATATCTTTTTTTATTCTTGCACAATTCTTTATATTATATTTTTATTATCAGCAGTAGTATCATGGCCAGTCAGTGTTAATTTAGTTTTTTGTGTACTATATAGTTTGTCAAGTAACTAGCGTGTGAACCTCTGTACTGATGCTGCTGTGACACCTGAATTTCTCCTCGGCGGGAGAATAAAGGCTGTTTCTATTTATTCTTCTAAGTAGATTATCACAAATTATTCCAGTTTTTTGTTGTTTGTGTGTATAAAAACGACTTTTTTGTCTAAATTCCTTTTAAAATAACCAAGAGATTCTTGTACATCTTTCAGTGAGCAGAGAATACTCCTCATCAACACTCCTCTACAAAATACCCTCAAAGAGTTGTGGACCATGATCCACTTCCTGTTGCCAGGAATCACCAGGCCCTACTCGGACTTCCCTGTTAAGGCAGGCACAGACCAGAACCAGGACTACTGCCACAAGCTAGTCATCCGCCTGCACAGGGTGAGTATAGCGCCTGCACATTCTCCTGCCTTTAATCTGTCATTTTTAATCCCATTCACATACAGTCTGCACAAACAAACAAGCTTTTGTTTTACATGTCTTTAGATGATCCAGCCGTTCATCTTGAGGCGCTCCAAACGAGATGTGGAGAAGCAGCTTCCCAAGAAGTATGAACACATCCTCAAGTGCCGTCTGTCCAGCAGACAGAAAAGTCTTTATGAGGACATCCTCACTCAGCCAGGGTAAAAATATCACTAATCTTTCATTTTAAAATTATATCTCCTTGGTAATGTAAAGCAGCTTTTATCATTTAAGGGGAAGAAAAAAATTAAATGTGCATCAAGATGTGTATTTATTTATTTTTTAATCTTTCAACAAAAAGGACTCAGGAGGCTCTGAAGACGGGTCATTTTGTTAGCGTGCTCCAGGTTTTAATGCGGCTGCAGCGAGTGTGTAACCACCCTGAGTTGGTTGCTCCCAGAGACACCAGCAGCTCGTTTTTCTGTTCCTCTCTTCAACACGACGTTCCATCGTTGATTCTGGAAGCTGTCGAGAATCAATCAAACAAGGTATACTCTTGTGCAAGGACTATCCTAAAATTGAAAATTTATTGTTGTTGATTGGCAGAAAATGTAGTTTTTCTGTTATAATTAATATT